TTGGGTGGCGAACAGCCTGGGTGCCCCACGTAGGCAGTGTTTAGTCCACCCAGCCAGTCAGGGGGCCAAAGGTGGCCCCTGTGAGCCCCTGTGGGGAAGCGGGCTGGGGCAGCCAGTCTCCTCATCTGGGGCAGCAGGCTGTGTGCTGGGCTAGGTTTCCTGGGGGTTGCAGCCTGCGGTGCAGACATGCGTGGGGCTGGGGGGGCTGATCGCTGGGGGAAAGTGGAGGGAAGCGGCAGCAAGAGGGAGGGGCGAAGAATGGCTGTGGAGCTGCTGCCCCCTGTGATTTTATTATCTTTTAATCCTGACTGGTTGGTTTGCTTATCTCCTTTTTATCTCCTTGGGGTTTAGTTTTAGTTGTTTCTGTTACTGCTCTCTCTCTTTTCTCCCTGTCTCGGAGTTGTGGGAGTTACTGCCATTGCTTTGGCTATTTTTGAGAATCCGTCAGCCATAGAATAGCAGAGTTGGAAGTGGCCCCAGAGCCACTGGGTCGAGGCTCCTGCTCCAAGCACCCTAAGAGAGGGTTGCCCAGCTCCCTCTCCAATGCCTGCAGTGTGGGAGAGCCCACAAACCAATTAGTCCCCTCGGCATCCTGCTCTAACAGTCAGGACATTTTTCTTGAAATCTAACCGGAACCTGGATTCCCGTAGCTTGCGCCTGTTATTCTGCACTCTGGGGTGATCGAGGAGATCCTGGCCTTCCACTTCGGACAATCTTTCAAGTACTTGAAGGGTGCTAGCATAGCTTCCCTCAGTCTTCCCTTCTCGAAACTAAACATGCCCAGTTCTTTCAATCTCTCCTTGCAGAGTTTTGTTTCCAGTCCTTGGTTCGTCCTTCTGCCCTCCTCTGAGCCCTTCCTGGCTTGCCCGCATCTTTCTTGGACTCCGGGCTGGACCGGACGGAGCACCCGATGAGGCCCCACCAGCGCCGCATGAAGGGAACTGGCACCTCGGGGGCTTTGGACACGGTGCGTCCATCGTGGGGTTGCTGAGCCATCTTGTGAGTGTGCATTTTGGCCTCTTCTCTTGGGGATCGAACTTGGCATTTGTCCCTGTCGAATTTCATTCTGTGCCTGTAGGCGCAGCAATCCAGTCTGTCACAATGACTTTGAATTTTGCTTCGGTCTTCCAGGGTGTTAGTGCCCCCTCCCAGGCTTGTGTCATCCGCAGATCTGAACAGCACTTCCACACCTCTTCATCCAAGTCATAAATAAAATGTTGGAGAGGCCTGGGCCCGGGACGGAGCCCTGCGGTACTGCACTGACCACCTCTCCCTGGTCTGAGGAGGTGCCACTGAGGGGCACCTGCTGAGTCCGATTCTGCAGCCAGGTGTGGATCCACCTGGAGTCGTTCCAACCAGCACACTTTTCCTGGTTTGCTGATCAGAATGGCATGGGGCATCTTGTTGAAAGCTTTGCTGAAGCCGAGAAAGCTTATGTGCACAGCACTCCCAGTCCACCATGAAGGTAATCTGATCAAAACGTGAGATCAGATTAGCCTGGCAGGTTTTGTTCTTGACAAATCCATGCTGGCTCTACTAATTACTCCGTTGTCTTCAAGGTGTTTGCAGGCAGTTTTATAATTTGCTCTGGAATTTTTCCAGGGACTGATGTCAGACTGACTGCTCTGTCGTTCCCAGATTCATCTTTCCCCCGCTTTTCTCCAGGCAGGGACAACATTAGCTCTTCTCCAGTCACCTGGCATGTCTCCTGCCCACCGGACGGGGGTTCGGAGAGTCCTTCCGCCAGCTCCCTCGGAACCGCAGAGTGCGGCTCACCAGGCCTTGCAGCTTCAGACTCCTTCAGAGGTAGGAGGTGTTGCTCAACCATTTGCGCCAATCCTGACCCTTCCTTTTGTACTTCGTTTCTGCCGGGAGGGCCACAGACCCGCTTTTGGGAAAGACGGAGCCAAAGCAGAAATTGCACACTTTGGCGCTTTCCTCCTCATCTGCTGCCCATTTGCCCCTCGCTGGGACGCCGAGCCGCCATGCCTCGCCCCTGCCTTGTACTGTTCGGGCACTTCGGAGGCTTCTTGTTGCTCTCGCCTCCCTCGCCAGCTCCGCGCGTTCCCAGCTTGAGCCTTCCAGGGGTCCTTCCTGCACTCCTGGGCCACCTGTCCGCACGCGCCTCTTGTCCCTCGGCTTCCCTTCCGCTTCCCAAGCACACCCCTTCTTGTTCCGAGGCCACCCAAAAGCCCTCTGTGGAGTCACGCTGGTTTCTTTCGTCGCCTTCTTCCGTTCTGTTTGTACTGGGGCCCTTAACACTGCTTTCTTCTGGGACTCCTTTTCTCCTTCATCATTGCCCCGAGTTTGTTCCAACTGGCTCTCCCAAAATGCGGAGCACCTGTGCTGCTGCACTCACCTGTCGTGCTCACTTTCCCCAGAGTTCCTGCAAGTTCTGCTTTATCCACTAAGCCACCCCTATTAGTCAGTGTTAAGTCAAGGAGAGCCGAGCCTCTAGTTCCTTCCTCCACTTTCTGTATCCACCGTGCACGGCAGGGATTTCTTGGGGGGAACACTCTGGGCAGAACTGGTCTCTCCACAGACACTCCCCATGACAGATTCCTCCCCGTGTGTTAGGAGTGCTTCCACTCGGAGGCGCTGCTCTTCCAGCTCTACTCTGCTATGGTTCTGTTTTGCCTATTTATCATTTTATCGTTGTGATTTCTTATTATTACGTATTTATATTCACCCCCCTGATGAAGAGTGCTTTTGAGGGAGGGTTGTTTATAAAAACAAAAATGGCAGGGCCCCGTCCTATGCCTGTGTCGTCCGAAGAAGGACCTCCAACTCGCAGCTGCTCTGCGGAGCTGCGGGATTCTTCCTGTCCATAAAGGCACACGGCTGAGCCCTGAGAGGAGCAGCTGGCCATCCTCTATCCTGGGATTCTTTTGAGGGCTCACTTCCGACCTGCCTCAGGACACACGGAGGGGCCACCAATGCTGTGCACGTGGCTCCCACGTGGCGCTCTTGTAGTGACCCTCTTCGTGGTGCTGGCGGCCTCTGGCGTCTCTTCCGCCATTAAAACCCGCAAGGGGCACAAAAATCGGCAGCGTCTGAAGCATTCGAACCGTAACAGGGTCCAAAGCGCCCCCGACGAGGCGGCATCCGCTGAGACATTGCGGGGCGCGGACCCGATGCGCACACGGCTCCGGGTGGCCGGGCAAGCGAGGCTGGCGCACTCGGGGGCTTTCAGACCCTGCACTGGCCCCGAGTGGGCTCAGTCGCCCTGGGCTGCTCCTCCCTGGATTGTGACACTCGCTCGCACCTGGGCTGCCCTGGGGCCCTCCGGAGTCCGCCTTGCAGGGCACTCCTGCACCGCAGCCGAGCCGGCAGCGCAAAGCAGCACCTGCCGCGTGTGCGATTCAAGAAGGGCAGCCTGGGCAGCCTCCTCCCCCCAAATCCCACGCCACTGGCCTTCATCCTGTGGTGGCTGCCACCTTGAATCTCCTGGGGATAATCCTGCCTCTGGGGAACAGGGGGCAGCAGCCGCATGCCCGATGCCTCATGCACAGGCACGGGGGCTTCCCAGCTGCTGAACGGGAGGTGGAGGGACCGCCGGTGGCAACAGAGGGCTTGGCGGCCGCCTTGCAGAGGGAGGGCGGAGGCACTGGCCTGCCACTCTCTTCCCGAGGCCAGGGATCCCTGCCCTGCTAGGCTGCAGCAGCTCCAGTGGATCGCTCCCACGCGTCCCGGGAGGTGGTGAGAGCGGTGGGCCTTGGCCGTCTGGCGGGAAAAGAAGTCTGTCTCCAAATTTGCAAGCAGCGGCTTAGTTCTCTCGGGTCATTGCTCCAGAGGGGCAATTTGCCTGGCCCACCCCAAGTCACAGGCTGAGAGAAAGAGGAACGGCATGGATCTAGGGAGCTCTCTTTCTGTGACAAGCCGGAGGGGGTGATGTTGCTCTGCACGGTTTTAGGCGCGGAGCCTCCTTGCTCTGCAGAAGCCACTCTCTGCGGCAGTTAATTCGGAAAGGAAATGCTCGTGCGGGCATCACCAGCTCTGGCGGGGAGACCCCCTCCCCGGACCCCGGATCAGTGGGAGCCGAGTGGGGCCACTTCGGGGTGTAGCGCCCCTGCCCCACTGGCTCCCCGCTCACGGCAACCGTGCGCCCTGTGGCTCCCTCTCCCCTGACCCTGTGGCGATGTGAGGGGGCCTCTGGTCCCCCCAGGCTGTGCCCCCAGGTGGTGTCAGGAGGATGCTCTGTGCCCCAGCCGCCTTCACACCGTCCTGATGGAGCCTGGTCCAGGACTCAGTGGCCAAAAAACAAAGAACCGCATCCTCCCCTAAAAGCGAGAGTGCAAAATCTTAAAGAAAAGGAACATTTTGAAGCTCACAGCAGGAGGTGCTTTGGGGAGCTAAGTCTTGGAGTTGCCTGGCACAAAACAAATTGCGTTTCCTGCTTGCCGGATGATCGGGCATGCAGCCAGAGGCATCAGCTGGGCCTCATGCAGACGGGCAGGTGCCCGGCCCGGCCCGGCCCGAGCGTGCAGCCCCTCCCCTCGGCCGGAGGGGTGCTTGAAAGCAGGAAGCTCACAGCCAGCAAGCGTTTGGACGATGATGCTCCCGCAGGAGACGGCTTGTGCCAAGATGGAATATCACTTTGGCTTTGGATTTGGCTCTGTGCCTTTCTTTCTTTTTCTTTCTTTCTGGTTTGGCTGTGTTTTGGATTTTTCCCCCAAAACAATCAGGACTAGCATTTGCTCTCTAAGCTGCTGTACCACATCATCTCTGACTCTGTTTTGCGCTGCTCTACCCACGTACTTTGTAAGTGGAGACAGATTTTGTCCCTTGTACACAGAAGACTAAATTCTGGAGGATTCCTCTCTCTCTCTTTTTCCTTTCACAATCACAAACGAAAGCCACAGTAAAGGATGTGAGAAACATGGCCCATAGTGGAGTGAGACATTGCCCAAATCAAACTGGTGCAGAATTGTGGGGGGTGGGTGGGGGGAAGAGTAGGGGTGGGGGTGACTGTTTTAGGCATACAATGACAAAGAAGCACAGGAACACTCAGAAAATGGGGAAGGGTCACTTAGTTTTTTTTAAAGTTGGCATCAACAGGGGGAGGAAACTTTAAACCACATTTCCAAGGAGAATAAAATTAAAGAGTCTAGTTCAAAATAAACGAAGCACAACAAAACAAAACAAAAAAACAAGAACGAGAAACTCACTGCTGCGCTGTCATCTCCAAACTCTTCACAAGACACTACAACGCAGTCAAGACCTTCCTTGCCCTCCCGGGCTCTGAAACTTTTGGAAGGACACGGGAATGACCGACTGACCGACTGACCGACTGACTGACTGACCGACTGACTGACTGACTGACTGACCGACTCTTGACGGACATGAGGCTATGGTAGGTTACACTGGCAGCTTCGGGATGGGGTGTGTGGTAGTTGATGGGATGGCAGAAGAGAGAGAGAGAGAGAGAGCGAGAGAGACTGAGAGAGAGAGAGAGAGCAAGAGAGAGCGAGAGAGAGAAAGAGGGCATAATCGTTTTGCTTCCTCTTACCGTATCTTTGGATGACCTACGTCTCTTGAAGCTGGAGGCCAGGGTGGAGGTGATGGACCTAAAAGTGGCTTTCTTTTTAGGGTCTGGTTCTGCTCTACCACTTTTTCTATCCTAAAATGAATATGTATATAAGCGATTAGATCTCCAGCGGGTGGCTTGGACCTTCACACCTAGATGAACACTGCCCCACGTCACGATCCTGGGGTTTGTCCTTCCTCCTTCCTCCTCTTTCTTAAGTTGTGGCTAAGGCAACGCCTGAGAGGTCCTGCGACTGTCCGTCCCAAAGCACAGCGGCCCTGGCGCCTGGTGGGGGGGCACGGGGGCCAGCGCATCGCTGCGGCTGCGTCGGAGCGACTTCGGAGAGAGCTGAAGGAGCCGGCCCCGCGGGCAGCGTGGGGCAGCGTGGGGCCTGCATCTGCTCTGCGGGGGCCAGCAGCCTCGGGGCGAGGGCGGCTCCCCAGGAGAGCCCTGGCGGGAGCCGGAGGCCTCCGGGGCCCCTCCGTGGGCAGGTTGTCCCTGCCCCTTCCTGCCAAGGCTGTTCTGGCTAGAGAGAGAGTGGAGACACTTGCACCTACCACTAAATAAAAATGCTCGGGGCCTTTTCTGAAGGTGAATCCTACGGCCACAAGAGAGAGAGAGGACTGCATTGAAAGAGAAGGTCATTGTATGTTAAAAAAAAGGTATTCCAAAAATTCCAATGATGCTTGGTGCAAAGCTTGAGCTGTATTGTAAAGGAAAGCAAACAAACGGAAAACCCAACAAAAGAGATATCGAAACGAAAAGTTCTGAAACGAGGACGAGAAAGGAAAGAAGCTAAGCGTTAGGCTTGGGATGATGTTAGGGATGGCTGGAACTCAAAGGGACAGAAGAAAGGAAAAAGCGGGAAGCCGCTTGGCGGCGGCGGCCAGGCCTGGTCGGCACACGCGGGAGCCGCCGGCCCGCCCGGGGCGGGGGCAGCCTGTCCCAGCGCCGGGATTCTCCCCATCTCCCCCGAGCCCCTGTGAGTGGAGGGTCCAACCAGGTCTGGCTCTGCCAGCCCAAGCTGGGGGTGACCGAAATGTATCCCGCTGGAGTGCGCGGGATACATTTGCGCCTCCTCTTCAGTCTGTCGGCTCTTTCGGCACACATGCACAGAAAAAAAAGCCAGCGAGAGGATGGGATGAGATGACTGGGTTTTGGTTTTGGTTTGGTTTCGGGTTTCTTTGGTGCCTTCCCATGGCATCGCTGAAATAGCCACGGCAAAACTGTGATTTCCCCAGGAAACAAAATGAAACAAAAAACCCGTTATAGAGATATTTGCTTTTTGTTTTTTTCTTGAACAAAGAAATCTTTCCACTTGCCTACCTTCTAGCAATGTACCAGATACTAGTGGTCTGAGGAATCCTCCTGTGAAAAAGTCTTACATTGTCAAACGGATCTCTTTAGCATAGTCCCCTGTTTATTTATAACCCACGGGGTGGCATGCTTGGCTGGCAGCCCCAAAGATTCTTCCCCCCAATGACCCAGGGAAGGATTTTTTCTAGAAAGTTGGCAAGTGAAAAATGGCAGTGACTACTGTGCTCTGCTTTCCTGTGGACTCGACCCGTTGGACCACTGCCTCGGGTGGGGGGGAGGGAGCGGGGAGGCAAGGGGCGAACCGATGGCCTGTCTGGGTTGCGTGCGCTCGCCTGCCTGGTGGGATTCTGCGCCGGCTTGCCCTGCTCCCCTGGCGGGAGCGCAACCCCTGCAGGACTCCGAAGACCTTCCGCTGGGACCCGCCTGCGTCTCCGCTCGTGGCAGAGCCCTCGGCCACGTGTGGCCCGGCACAGGCAGAGCCCGCACGGTTCCTTCACGTGACGGCCCCTGGGGACCTGCTAGGGACGGCGGCAGCGACCCGGGCTGCAGGGCTGCTTGTGCCCTGACGCGCCGCGTGCTTTCGGCACCGGGGCTGGCTCCGCTCGTGCCCGGCTGATCCTCCACCTTTCGCTTGGGAATTTGGCGAGCTTCTTGGCCGAGACTGGGCGCCGAGACCGGATTTACGGAGCCAAGTTCTGCCAGTCTCTTACTTAACTGGAGCCCTTTGCAGGCCACGGAAGGGAGCGACCGAAGTGGCGCCAGCTTTGTGGATGGCCCAGATTCCCGGAGTGCCAAAGGATGGCCCGGGCGGGGGCGGCGGCTGTGTGGCCACCGCCAGCGTCACAGGGAGGCAGGAGCATGGGGCTCTCCGCCTTGTGGCCTGCAGGGGCTTTCGGAGGATCGGGGGGCTGCTGGGAATCTGTCCCCTGTTCCCTGGATTCGGCTGGAAAAGGACGGAAAAGGGAGGCACGCCCTGGAGAGCAGTTGCTGGCCCAGCGCCTGGCTGGAGGTGGCCGCGTGCGGGGACCTGAAGGATGCACAGCTCGCCTCCCGGGAGGAGCAGCGCCGGAGGCCGGGACCGGGCGCAGGGCTGAGCAGGGCCAGCGGCTGGCTTGCCTGGGGGGCAGGGGAGGGGGCTGCAGAGAGGGCTGCTGGGAATCTGTCCCTGTGCTATTCCCACATAGCACCATAGTCACTGGTTGGGTGAAGTAATGGGAAACAAAACTAAAAAAAAAACCGCACCTGTTTTGGAGGTTTTCCCTAAAACGGACTGTCCTACCTGCAGGTTTTTCCGCCACACATTAACAGCCGCAAACGCCAGTTGCATCTGCTTCCTCCGGGCGTCTTTATGCCTTTTGTATGCTATTTCTATGAATATTAAAAATATCCCGGCCACAATACCTCCAGCCACCAGCATGAATACACCTGAAAGAAGCAGGAGAGTTAGCACCAAGGATGGGGAGGGCAGGACCCCCCTCTGCCTCCCCCTCCGCCTTCCCTTCGGTACAGGGAAGGTGGGGCAGAATTTGCAGCTGCCCTCGAGGGACAGATGCCCCAGAAATGCTCGCATTGCCTAGAGCAAGGGCAGAGCCGGCTGCGGCAGGTGCCTGACGGCCAACGCCTGCACCAGCCCCCCAGACCCCTGGAGCAGTTGCTCTAGAATAACAGAAGAGCAGGAAGAACCGCGCTGGCTGCCAGCCAAAGCGGTGCTTAGGCTGGGCTCTCGCTTCCGTTGCCTCTCTGAGAGGCCGCCTCACACCGCCCACTCCTGTCGGGATCAGGGCCGGAGAGCGCCTGCGGGTGCCTTCGGTACCAGGAGCCCCTTGGCAGGCCCCTGCAGGCGACACCTGGGCCACAGTCACGCAGTGCCGCTGGAGGCCCGTGACTGGCACAAAGGGCTTCCTGGCACTGCTGCTCTTGGCCACAGCCACGGACGGGGTCTCTCGTGCGCCGGCCTCTGCCGCACCATGCCTTGGGCCTCGCTCCCGCCCTGCTCCGCTCGTTCCCGCCTTGCTCCGGTTCGCTCCTGCCTTGCTCCGGTTGGGTACTGCATCCCCTTGCCCTGCTCCTGGGGGTCCTTGCTTGCTCCAGTTGTTCCTGCCCTGCTCCAGCCCCCTTGTGCCAGGACCACCCTCGCGTGATGGTCTTCCGGGCACCAGACCACCGGACTGTTTCTGGACTGTGCTTTCTCTCTCCCCTCTATAGTTCTGGATTCCCTGCTGCTGCGACCCCGACCCTGGACGGTTGGCCACGCCAGGCGGCAAGACCTCGCTTTGCATCCACACCCTGCTCCCGGCGCGCTGCCCATCTCTGCCCACCCACGTCCCGGCCCCCCCACCACCCCTGGCGCGGCTCTTCGTGTCTCTCGGGGTGGCACTGGCTGGGATGGAAGGACGGCTTATGCAGAGCACGGGGAAAGGGACACCCTGTCGGCGTTCCGGTCAGAACGACCTCTTGAGATGCTCAGGGACTCCCGTCGGGAGGACAGGTGAGAGGAACCAACCTGCCATGTTTTCAAAGGTGAGCGTTGCTGGGGCGTTGCTTCGGGAGTCGCACTCTTGATACCTCACCCAGGTCTTGTCCAGCTCCTCCATGAAGCCGTTCTCGTGGAGGCTGCAAGCAGAAGGCGAGCGCACGGAGGAGTCACGGGGCAGGTTCCCTGGGAGAGGCCGGCCTAGCGGTGGCGGAACGGGCAGGGGCAGGGAGGGCCCGCTGACCTGCCCCGGGGCCCCTCCTGTGTGCCGTGCGCTGGGCTTCCCAAAGGGGCACATCATAAAGTGGAGCACTGGAGGCGCGGGCCACTCCTACGCCGCGGGCAGGAGCTCATGCGCCGTGGGTTCGGCGGGCCCTGGCCCTCAGGGACGCCTTGCACGCTGCTCTCCCAGGAGCGCCGGGCCTGAGCAGGACTCCTGATGGCACCGCACGGGCAGGCGGCGCCAGGCCGGCTGCACGGGGCAGGGCGGGAGCAGTGGCCCGCCAGAGACCCTTCTTTCTTTAGCATCACTGCCCTAAACTGCGGAGAGGTGAGATCGAGAAGGGTCCCCCAGAGAGGCGCTCTCTCAGAGGAATGGTGGGCACGGCTCCTGGGCTGCTCCTGGGGTCATTTCTGCCGCAACTTCAGCTCGAAATCCAGCCCGCTCCTCCACCTGCTCCGCAAGCACCCTGCATGCACCCCCTCGGCGCTCAGGCATTCCCAACAGGAAGTGGCACGGTACGGACTTGAGGATGGCCAGAGAGACGTTCTGCTTCCAAGGGCTGTCCTTGCGCATCCCGATGCCGAAGCCTGAGCGGAAGAACAGCTCCCCCGTGGTCACCAGGTCGCACTTCTGCGAAGCTTCGAACTCCAGCACGGCTGAGTCCCAGATGAACGCATGGAGCTTGCTGCGGGGAGGGAGAGGTTAGCTTGCCCAGTGGGCGCAGAAGCACCCACACTTTCAGGGACCGAAGGCATGTCGAAGCCACTCGCTGCGCCCCGGACATAATTCAGTGTGCGCCCCGGCCCTCTCTCTTCTCGACCAGGCAGGCCCGAGCCTTTTCTCGCGCTTCCCTGCACAATATGAGCTGCTCTGTCTGACCTCCTTCTGGGGACGGGGCCCGTCCGTGGGGCTCCACGTGTGGCCGCAGCACCGCGTTGCGTGGCTCCCCCAAGGGCGCCCCTTTCCTGAGAGCCTCGTGCGCGGAATCTGCCAGTGCCGCACGCCGGGCTGCTCATACTGGACTGTCTGCCGGGCCTTCGCTCTCCTAATCCGTGATCGCCAGTTTGGACACTCATGTGGGGTTTCTGGTCCCGTTATGCAAAGCTGCGCGCATCCTGAAAGCCGCTTCCCTTTTGACTGCTCGTCTGCCCTGTCTGGAGCTCTGGGTAGGGGCTCAGTCCCCCGACTGCTCACCCCGAGCACCAGAGCATCTAGGGAAGCGTGGGGCCTCGCGGGGCCTCGGGCCGCAGTGGCAGCTGCGGTTGCCCGTGGCTTGGCTCTCCTGCCCAGGGCTTAGTCGTGGGCCGACAAAGGGAGGCGCCAGTCCCTCACCGGAGGGCAGGATCACTCGAGGGAACGGCGAGATGCTGCCAGGTCACCGGTCCAGACACCCCCGTGCTCCCCGGGCGGCCAAGGGCGGCCGTGCGGCGCCCTCACTCACTTGTCGCGGACGGCCTGGATGGCTTCGGCGGCGCTCTCGTAGTTGTGCTTCTCCATGTGCCGGTACATGGTGCTCAGCTCCACTTGCCGTCGGAAGTAAATGTCCACCGAGCTTTGCTTCACGGTGGCGTAGATGAATTTATCCGAAGGGTTTCGCAGCTGGAAGCCAGAAGCAAGCAGGCCTGGCTTAGAAACTGCGACTCGGACTTGGTATGCGGGAGTCAATTTGGCGGGGGGGGGGGGACGGGGGCTGATGAAGAGCTTCCGCTCCTGGGTGAGAAACGCTCCCACATTTCTGAATTGCCCATTTTTCTCTCTTGCCACTTAGACAAAGAGCAAAACTACTTCAACAAAACCATTTCGCCAACTTATAGTTACCTTTTTTAATGTAAAGATATGCTTCTGGGTGGGGCATATCGACTCTACACGTTTCAGATCTGCTCTTTATCAGTTTAATTGTCAGGGCTACCCCCAAGAAAATTAGGAAATTACAGTTTGCTGAGATTGCAAAGAATTATGTTAAGGTATCCTTGGAATAAAATTGATATGGGCCACAGCACTTCAAAAAAAAAAAAAAAAAAAAACAGACTAGGAATGATTCAGATTATACTTGCCTATATCTTAAAAAGTGAAAGTGTAGAATGTTAATCGCAATCACAAGATATTCTTAACCGCCTCCTCCCACCCACTCCCCAAATTAGCGTTCTCAGGATAATTTGAAGCAAAGGAATGGCTGTGAGACAGTTTAAATTTGTGCTGTGGCTAAAATATTGGGATTTTGCATTTAAATATCTCACTGGCCTTTCAGTTAGAATTCTAAATTCAACATGAAAAGAAAAAACTTCAAAAGTTTGCATCTGAGTTTGGTAAATAGGCTGAACTTTGGTTTGGACGGATCCACCTGTTTCTTCTCCCCGCAGGACATTCAGGAAGGAGGGGCGCCCTGGCTTGCCGTGGCACCTTCTGCCCCTTTCCTCGTGGCCTGCCCCTGTGAGCGGGGGCGCCCGGCCGCTCGGTCTCTCGCCAGCAGGCGCTCGCCCGCCCCGGCACGCGGCACGCGGCACGGCCGCCGCACTCACCCTGGGATCGTTGATGCCGGTGATCCGTTCCTCGGGCCTGTCCAGCACCAGGAAGGCAGCCAGGTTGGCTGTGTACGAGGCCACGATGATCATGGCGAATCCGGCCCACACCATTCCCAGGATGCGAGCCGAGAAACTCCGCGGGGCGCCTGGAAGGCAAGCGCAGCAGCAGGTCAGGCGCAGTGACTGTGTGAGCGAGCGAGCGAGAGGGAGACCCTGAAGGGGCTGAACCGGAACGTGTGTCCACAGGTCAAGCGCATGCAAGCAGCAGACCGGAAGCGCGTGGGCGCTGCTCTGCGATCCAGGCCAGCGCACGGGAGAAATCCAGCTGCAGTGCCGGGCACACCGCTTGCTGTGACTGCCTGGCCCCGCTGGGGCCCTGCCTGCCGAGCCCCCATTCCCTGCACACGGAGGCCCCCCGGAGGTGGTGGCCGGCCCCCCCGGCTCCCATGGGCTCCCACCCCGCCGCAAGCTCACCTTCTCCGATGCCGGAGTTCAGCAGGACTCCCCAGGAAAACCACATGGCGGACGAGAGCGTCAGGGCATCCTCTTCCTCTTCCTCGCTGTTCACTTTAAACCGGCCAAACGGGCTGCGGGGGAGAAGCCCGGCTGGTCAGGGTCGCCAGGGAGATCTGCTGCGGCGAGCACCCGGGAGCCCCAGGGGGCCAGGCAGAGAGCAGCTCTCCTCCCGAGAAATCCCGGATGCTGGGGCAGGGGACGGCGCTTCAGTGGTCTGCAGAGCTCCTTCCGGCTCACGACCAGTGGGTGGCGGGTGAGCGATGCTCGATTCATCTCAGGCAGGCCTGTCCAGACCAGCCACGTGTGTGATGCGTGGAACAGGCTGGGCTGGGGGGGGCACCCTTTCTACCCTAGGCCTCAGCCCGTGGCGTTTCCCGCACGCCTCTCCGCGTGGCCCAGCTCCCGCCCCTGGGGGCCTCCGCTTGAGACCACGGGCCGGCGGTTACCTGAAGCGGTCCAGGAGGTAGAGCATCACGGCCACCACGTGCACCGAGAGCCCCACCAGGAGCCACAGCGTGCTCTGGAACGGCTGCATGAACGAGTCCAGCGTGCTGCGCGGGATTTCCTGGAACACACACCAGAGGCGGGCATCGCAGGCGCGTCGCGGAGGCGCGTGTCCAGCGGTATCACGCAAACGGGCATGAACGCCCACACAGCTTCACGGTCCGTGGTCGAGAAGCCCAGCGCTGGTGGTCCAGCTCGAACAAGGGTCAGGACACGCTGGATCAGACCCACACGGCCTCTTCCCGCTGCTTCTTTCCCCCAGGTGCCCTCCAGGTGTCTCGGGAAAGGGCCCGGAGGGCCCGGTCGCCTTCCCCGCCTGCCACGCTGCTCTCCCCACCCGCTGGCCTTCAGTGACGGACAGTGGCGGAATGTGGACTTTTCGGTCAAGATACGCGCATGTTTTTTGGAAGAGCCGGAATGCAGGTGAGCCTTTGCCCACACATCCTCCCGGAGGCCTGCCGGCCAGTGCCGCGCCTGCCGTCCCTCCCGCTCGGGAGCCACCTTTGCTCTTTGCCCCAGCAGCGACTGGGATGACTCACCCACCGCGGCCAGGCTCCGGCACAGGCCTGCCCAGGGCGAATCCTCCCCCCGGCCTCCAGTGCAGGGCCCCTTCCTGCCCCGCCAGGATGTGCAGCGGCTGCTCTCCGCATGCTGGGCTGCCCTGGCCAGGGGCCTCCGTGTGCCCGTGAGTTACCTTTTTCACGAGGATGGTGAGCCCCTGGTACTTGAAGGGCTTGGAGAACTCGATGTACTGGGCCCGCTCATTGTTGATGGTCAGCGGCGCCACGATCATGTCGGCCTGGCCGCTCAGCAGCTCCCCCATCATCCCGTTCCACTCCTTCTTGTTGCTGTTGTTCACCTGCAACGGTCACCCGGGGGGCTAGCGGGCCTCCTTTGGCAAGCGCCGCGGGCTCGTCACCCGGCGTGGGCGCTCCGAAGTGCCCGGGAGCCGAATGTCGCCGACCCGCCTCTCCTGCCGTGCCTGAGCCCCTCACGCCCGCCCGGCCTGCGAGCCGCGGCTTGCTGGGACCCGTACACAAGCTGCAGCCCTGCGGGGGGGGGGGGGGTCTCTGCTTGGTCCACGGGGCGACGGTGCTGCTGCTCCTCCGGCCTGCCGGTCCAGCTCCCTGCTCGGGCCGCTCAGCTCAGGTCCTGCGCCCAAAGGTGCCGCGGGCGCAGGGAAGTCTCCAGCGGCACCCGCCCTGCGGCACCTGCCTCCGGCCCCACCGGCGATCTACTCCCCAGCAACCGGGCAGATGGTCGCTGGGCAGGGTCCCCTCGCGTCTACCCACGGCGAAGGGAGAAGGGAACCGTGTCCCTACTTACCCGCTCTTGGGTGCCAAATTTACCATCGCCCACGAGGTGGACTTCGTACGTGAAGTTCATGGTCTTGGCCAGCTTGATCAGCAGGTCGATGCAGAAGCCGTAGCAGCACAGCATCACGCTGGGGCGGCCTGGGGGCACAGGGAGAGCAGTCCCGGAGGGGCAGCAGGACCGGAGCGGGTGGCCAACCGCGCCCCCATCCCGGGCCCACCTGCGGAGTCCGGCAGCTCATTAGCTGGCCAAGCCGTGGGTTTGCTCAAGGAGGCACCGAGTCATGGGAAATTTGCATCAGTAAGAAAAACTGATATGCTCAGGCTGGGACCTTCCTAGCAGCAAACTTGGGCTGAGTTTTCTGTATTCGGAATTTCAGAGCCAAGCTTCAAATTGCAAAACCAGGCCGATTCACCTGTCGGGGAAAATCTTTCCTCCGCAAGGACAAACGGACCAAGGAAAACTGTTCTATCCAAAGGTCTGTTAAAGCTTTTTTTTTTAAAGCCTTATTTGTTTACGCGACAAATAAGGGAGGAGAAGCGTCTTGCATGAAGGGATAGCAGAAGAAGAGAGCAAGATCAGGACACTGGCCGTGAGGAACGCGCAGCCCAGCGACTCCGGGCTGAGCCTCTCCTCACTCCCAGACTGAGGAGGGCCGACGGCACTGCCGAGACGGGGCCTGCTCCTGAGGTCGACCCCTTGACGTACCGAGGCCTCTCGGCTGGGCCATCCTCTTAGCGTGACACCATGCCACGGGGTCCGTGCCCACCCGTCTCCATCTGCTCCACAGAATCCTGCCCCACACCCCGGAATGGCCCGCTTCGCAGTGACGGGCTGGCTGATCTCGAGGCCCGTGGGCCTGTGGCCTCCGGCCTCCGCAGCGCCTGCCTGGATCGGAGTGTGGCCGGGCATGCGCGGAGGGCTGCCCCGGAGGGGGGTGGCCCCGGCCCCGCCCCAGGGGCAGCTCAACTGCCGTGGCTCCCAGAGGCGGTGCCCCCCACGCCGAGCGCTACCTGGCATGGTCTCGTTCGGCCCGGTGCAGAGCACCTGCTGCACCAGCCCCCCCGTGCTGTTCAGCAGCGGCTTGCACTTCCCGTCCGCCAGGGTCGGCTTCACGTAGACAAACGGCTCCTGGTGGATCGTGACTATCTGGCGAGAGAAACGGAAGGCCGTCACTTGCGGGACGAGAGCCGTCCTTCGGCCCGGAGACGTGCCAGGAGGGCGTGGGGGCAGCGCCTCCGTGGCGAGGGGCGCGGTGGAGGCCGCAGGGTGCCCACGGCTCCAGGGCGGTCCAGGCTGCCCCCGTTGCACGGGTGCAAGAGGTGCCTCGCCTCCCGCTTCGCTTGCGTGACCTCCGCTGGGGGGCCGTCTCGCCCTTCCCCTTGCCACTGGTCCTGAGATGCTCAACCCCAAGTGATGCGAGTCTGGCTCATGGGCCCTTCGGAGCATCTCGGGGCAACTGTGCGATTAGCGATTGGACTGATAAATTCTATTTGTTTTCGCCAATTTAAGCAATTATTTTTACCAATTGGTAAAAGCACTGTTCCCAAACTAAGAGGCCCTCTTTAATTTGTGTTCAGCTGATAAGTTTGTATGATAGAAGAGCCATCATCTTGGAGGAGGAGGAGGAGGAGGAGGAGGAGGAGGAGGAGGAGCATATGCCCTTCTAGTGGCTGCAGCGCAGCAGCCCTCCCTCGCTCCCTCCCTTGATGCTTTGTCTGTCTCTGCGCCTGGTGCATCAAGGCATTGTCTCACATGCCATTGCAAATACGTGTGCACAAGCACAGGCACACACACACACACACACACACACACACACACACACACACACAGCCCATGGACGTAGTGCATACCTTCAGTTTCGTAGACATTTCGTAGCCCTGCGGGGTTTCCGTTTCTCCTCCCGGCCAGATTATCTTGCGGTCATTGGGCAGGAACTGTGGAGGTGCAAAGGCAACGCTCTGGGTGACCTGCGTACAGCCTGCAGCGCACCTCACAGGTAACTGCACGGCCATCCACAACTGGTCTATTGTGGGCAGCAGTCCAAATTCTGGACCTGCGTTTGTGTATGCTGCTGGTCCACTGCGAGAGCCTGGAAATGGGCAGAGTTCCGTCCCTCTGCTGTCTCTTCTAAACATCTCGGTTGACGGTTGGAATGTGTTTAGAAGGGGCAGAAAGGATGAGCTGTGCAGGAAAAGCTGCTCAAGGGGGGCTTTTTCAAAATCGCCCACTTTTCAGTGGAACTTTAGCCCTCTATTAGGGTTGGGGGTGTGCACGAGGGTAGGGTTAGGGATAGAAAAAGGAGGTGTCCTGGCATGGATTTGATGGTTGGAATGCGCTTAGAATGGGCAGAAATGTTGAGCTGTGCCGAAAAACCCTCTCAAAGAAAGCTTTTAAAAAATTGCATTATTTTCAGTGGAACTTTAGCCCTATATTAGGGTTAGGGCTGTGCCCCAGGGTAGGGTTAGGGTTAGAAAAACGAGCTGTCCTGGCATGGTTTCGACGGTTGGAATGTATGTAGAATGGGCAGAAATGATGAGCTGCACAGAAAAAGCCACTCAAGGGAGGCTTTTTCAAAATCGCCCACTTTTCAGTGGAACTTGAGCCCTATATTAGGGCTAGGGCTGTGCCCCAGGTTAGGGTTAGGGTTAGAAAAACGAGGTGTCCTGGCATGATTTCGACGGTTGGAATGT